ATCAGTAGTTTTTATATGGTTTGTGGGGTACAGTTAAGGGTAGGTGTACAATGACGTTTCATTCAGGCACCCTGTAGATAAGAAGTGTTTTCCCATCCCCCGACAGATATTTGCTACTGTTAATCCCATCCCCCTCCCCCCCATAGTTTCCCAGTACCATCCGTCATTTTCTCATAGTATTGCATTGGATGTTCAAGGTCCATTATATGAGTGAGAACATGTGATATTCGGATTTTTGTTTTTGTGAGAGGTCACTCAGTATTATAGACTCTAGTTCCATCCAGGTTGCAGCGAAATTCATGATTTTGTTCTTTTTTATGGCTGCATAGTATTCCATCGTGTATATGTACCACATTTTTTTAATCCAGTCCTCTTTTGATGGGCAGCATGGTTGTTTCCAGGTTCTTGCTATTGTGAACAATGCTGCGATAAACATACGTGTGCAGGTATCTTTTTTATAGAGTGAGTTGTGTTCTTCAGGGTATATTCCCAGTAGGGGGATTGCAGGGTCATATGGAAGGTCAATTTTTAGAGCTTTTAGGAATCGCCACACTGCTTTCCACAGAGGTTGCACTAGTTTACACTCCCACCAACAGTGTAGAAGTGTTCCCTTTTCACCACACCCTCTCCAGCAGCTGTTATTTTTTGAGTTGTTGATAATTGCCATTCTGACTGGAGTTAGGTGGTATCTCAGTGTGGTTTTGATTTGCATCTCCCTGATGATTAGTGAGGTTGAGCATTTCTTCATGTGTTTGTTGGCTGCTCGAATGTCTTCTTTTGTGAAGTGTCTGTTCATGTCTTTTGCCCATTTTATAATGGGGTTGTTTGTTTTCTTCTTTTCAGTACGCTTCAGTTCCTTGTAGATCCAGGATGTTAAGCCTTTGTCAGACCTAGAGTTGGCAAAGACTTTTTCCCAGTCTGTAGGCTGTCTCCCTGCTCTCTTGATGGTTTCTTTGGCTTTGCAGAAGCTTGTCAGTTTAATAAGGTCCCATTTGTCTATCTTCTCTCTTAAGTCCTGTGGGTTTCGGGTTTTGTACAGGAATTGGATGCCAGTTCCGATTTCCATGAGAGTATTTCCTTCCTTTTCTAAGGTTCTTATGGTTTGAGGTTTTACATTTAGGTCTCTGATCCATTTGGAGTTAACCTTTGTGCATGGGGATAGATAGGGGTCCTGTTTCAATCTTCTGCATGTGGTCAGCCAATTTTCCCAGCACCATTTACTGAATAGGTTCTCCTCTCCCCATTGGTAGGTGGTGGGGGCTTTGTCGAAGATGAGTTGGTTGAGAAATTGAGGTTTTGCTTCTGGAATGTCAATTCTGTTCCATTGATCTATATGCCTGTTCCTGTACCAATACCAAGCTGTTTTGATGATTGTAGCTTTATAGTAAAGTTTGAAATCTGGTATTGTGATACCACCTGCTTTATTTTTTTTGCTGAGGATTGTTCTGGCTATTCTTGGATGTTTGTGTTTCCATATGAATTCCTGTGTTGTTTTTTCTAGGTCTGAGAAGAATGTTGTTGGTAATTTAATGGGTATTGCATTGAATTTGTAGATTGCCTTAGGTAAGATGGGCATCTTCAGTCTAGCCGGGATCGGTGGCTCAGCCTGCGCTTTGGGAGGCTGAGG